GGGAATTTAGCTGCTGGAGATGTGATAAGAATCACATTTTTGGCAAATCAAATACCACCGAACAGCTCATTACTCAAAATGACAAAGTCAGCTATTTATATCAAATTAAATCCTTTTATGTTTTCTCCCTCATTCAGTTCCTTGGTCTCTTCTAGTAATTAGCAATTGATCACATTAGTTTTGACCTGCTAACAACTAAAGTTCTTCTCTTTTACTCTGTCTTTGTAGGATTTTCTGGGGTGGCTGAGAAGTGCAAAACACATTAAAAAATTTAAAAAACACCTTATGATTTAAAAAAGCTGAATAAAATTTTAGGATACAAATTTAAAGTTTAGCAAACACATTTACGAATTAAAAAAACGTAACATTTTAAGAAACAATTTTTTTCAAAAATGTTTGTTTCCTAAAAAATGAATTTGTTTCTTAAAATGCTATATTGTTTTTTCATTTGTTCATGTGACCGATTTGGGAATAAGCAGTTCACAAAATGGATGGATGTGTTTCTTTAATTGTGAATGTGTATCTTACAATGTTATTTTGTTTTTTAATTTTTCAACGTTTTCTTTCTTTTATTGTAAATGTGTTTTTCACTTCTCAGCCACCGTAGTTTTCTTCCTGAAAAAGCCTTTTCATTGGCTGATGGTGTTGTTAGAGACGGAGACTCTGATTGGACGGCAGAACGGGGCCGTTTAGTCTGTAGTGGCGATTGTTTGTCAAACCAAACATCCAATAAAAGTTCCTCAAGCCACTAGGAGCCACTGGGGTCCAGTTTCTGTACGCAGGCAAAAGATTCAACATCCAAACTTGTTGATTATTCAGGAAGGTTTATTGGTTCTTTCCAGCAACAATTACAGAGTTCAAACTTTCCTTTGTTCTCATTCTGTCAATCTTAATCCATTCTCTTACTCTGTTCTTTTGCTCCTTTTCCTTTGCTCTGTTCTCTTGCTCTGTTCTCTTGCTCTGTTCTTTTACTCCATTCTTTTGCTTTGTTCTTTTGCTCTGTTCTTTTGTTCTGTTCTCTTGCTCTGTTCTCTTGCTCTGTTCTTTTGCTCTGTTCTTTTGTTCTGTTCTTTTGCTCTGTTCTTTTGCTCTTTTCTTTTGCTCTGTTCTCTCACTCTGTTCCTTTGCTCTGTTCTCTTGCTCTGGTAAAAACCATAGGCCCCAAACCCAAATGCCTTGCTGGTCCTTTATATTAGGCCCCTATACTTATAGAAAAGTGGACTGGTCCTTTACCAGGCCCCTATACTTATAGGAAAGTGGACTGGTCCTTTACCAGGCCCCTATACTTATAGAAAAGTGGACTGGTCCTTTACCAGGCCCCTATACTTATAG